CCTCTGCACTGACTCTTTGTGGAATGAGTTGTAGATTGTTATGCCACTCAGGCAACAGCCTCGGACCATATAGTGTTGATTTCTGCTGTCATGCAAGTTTTGCAAGTCTCCTTTTCATGGTCCTACTTTTCCCTCATATGCCAAGTGTAAGTTTCCCTGTAGACTTTACTCCAGTTTATGAGTGAAAACAGAGGCCTCAGCCCATCCTTAACTCATCTTTATCTTATGGAATCATCTCAAGTTCTCCTTTGACTCAGTTATTCCTGGCAATAAAATCTCCTCCTTCTACAAAAAGGTATGGTGGCTCTGAAGAAAGAAAGAGCAGACAATGCCCAGGTAACAAAATGGTGTTTTAAAACTTAGAATATAGCAGATTGAGTGGCACCATTTACGTTATCTCAAGTAGAGCTAGCAACATGGATCATGATGCTTGTGTTGACAAAGCATGTTAGTTGACCCTACATTCTTCATGAAACCATAATTTTAAATCATAGACATTATTTTCATGATCACTAAACCCACAATGAAAATATAACTTACAAATTATATACTATATATTATTTTGTATTACAAATCCTAGATCACGCCATGTGTCACTATCTTTAGGTCCAGGTAATGTTCAAAACTATCAGTTAAGAAAAAATATATGTTTTCCATTTACAACTCTAGCACTAATCATCTGACAAAGGAATCTAAATGTTCATACCTTTTTGGAACACATCAAATTAGGGTGATGTGAGATGCCCATGATTCCTGTGAGCAATTTAATATCAGCAAAACATAATTAAAACCACAACCCCTCAGTGATACTATGAAAGAACGCCTAATGTTTAAGGTTAATATATATAATATAGTTAACGTCTCATTTATTTAGCATACATCATGATGTCATAATGAAAGTCATCATTAATCTTACATTAACTAGTTTTTACAATTTTACTTCTTTGAGCATCAAAGCTCTGTTTGGATGTTACCTGTGTAACATGGAATAAAAATTAAGCAAATTTTACATATATTTCAAATTCTCCTATTTCCTGTTATAATGTAAGTAAGGCAATATATACAAACTGAAAAAAAATGTAATTATATGTAAAAATATTCTTTATGTAATTTGAATCAGATTTTCATTTAAAATATGACTTCATTAAATCTCAAGTCCATGAG